GTTAAAGGTTTTATTAAGACAGACATAATTATTTATTAGAATCGTTACTTTCAAAAAGATTAGTATTTACTATTTTATTTTATTTATTATTTATTTATTTTATTTATTCTAGGATGAGCATGAAATATATATTTTATTGAATAAACAATACTATAGAAATCCAATAAATTTAATAATGATGTGTGGTGGGGGAGAGGTACCTTGTTGAGAAGTCTTTTCACAGCATATTATTTACTTTCAAAAGAATTATGTCTACATGTCATCTCTGTAGATTACAATAATGGAAAGAAGTAAGAACGGCTTTTTGTTAGGGCAATATAAATTGGGTTGTGAGATAAAGATTTTAAGGCTTATTTTGTTCCTTTTGTACTGTTTGTGTTAAGAAAACGTATTACAGTTAAAGCACCATTCACTACAAGGGGGGGAAGAATGATTCATGGAATCACATTTGAAACAATGAGTTATGGAACTCAGAAGACTAGGTTTGTAATTTGTAAATTGCATGTAATTTACATGTATCATGTAAAGCAGAAACCTGCATCAGCCAGATGTCTGTCTATGTTACAGTGTTGTCTCTAGTAGTCTACATCAGGTATGTTTAAAAATATTAGAATGGTGCTTGGTAGTTAACATATAACTTCCTCATGAAAATATACAGCTAGGCTAAAAATATGTTTCCTACTAGGACTTCCACAAAGAACACACGAATACTTCACATATATATATTTATTTCTTTATTAATCAGAGTAAGTAAGAGAAAGAGAGCACAGGAGCTGGGGCAGAGGGAGAGGGAGTGGGAGAAGAAAAGACTCCCCTGCTGAGCAGGGAGCCTGACAAGGGGCTCAATCCAAGACCTTGGGATCATGACCTGAGCCAAAGGCAGATAGATGCTTAAATGACTGAGCCACCCATGCGTCCCTTCACATATTTTATTTAGACATGTAAATTATCTTGCATGTAATTACAAGTTTCCATTTTATTTGATATCTAAAGCAAAAGATACTGGAGCATAAATTAGATAAACAGGTATTTCTCACCTGATAAATCTTTGTAATTTTCAAAGATAAGCTGTCTGAAACTTGTGAGAGGGAAAAAAATCATTACTATTTCTATTGATCTTAACCATACATTGGAAAAGGAATACATACATCTAAGTTTGTTAAGTATAATGAGCACCCTGTTCAAAACCTATTCATTATGCATGGATCAAGTGAGTCACTGAAGTATTAATTTTTTAACTGCCCCCAAATTTGGACATTGTTATTTTTATTTAAGAACATTTTGAGAAAATCACACTGGTTCTAATTTTCAAACAGTTATGGCGGCAATTTTCTATCAGGCTACTAAAATCTTCCATTTATATCAAATGTAATGGGTAGATAATGTGACATAATTTTGTTACATGTGTAGTTAGCAGGGGAGAAACTGTGCTGTTGTTCCTACACCAAGGGAAAAAAATGTAAGGACTGTATAGCTCATGAAGAATATTAACATTTTCTATCACAAAATATTGATAAAATTGGAATTGTATTAATCCGATTATAGAGCTTAACATTTTAGTAAAAGTATTAAGATAATAACATAAAGCTCTTAGCTTCATATCAAGGTCTATTTGAATATTTATATAAGAATATTAAAAGCATTTACCTCATTTTAATTTTCACCAATTTTAACTTTAACCAAAGGGGTTGAAATTAAGAAATTTCATTCTTATTTACTAATGTATTTGGAAAATATTTTTGTTCATGTGGCAAAGTCATTAGAACCCAATTAATCAACCAACTTCTAAGTCCATTAAATACTATAAAATCTTTTTCTCCCAAATAGGATACAGGTATCAAGTATTTGTTCTTGCTCTTTTTATTCCCAAAGCCTTAATGCAACAATTCAGTATTACATGTTGTATACTTCTATTAAAAAGCCTGCCTTCCTTCTACCCACTCCTACAAAATAGTATTACATATTTCTAAGGAAGTGGATGGACTCATTTGAGGATGATATGCTTTGAAAGAACAGATTTGCCAAGCCAAACCACTGATATGTTCTTAGAATCACAGTAGTATAATGTGTAATTTAGTGGATTTAGTTATTTTAAAAGATATTATCCTACTTCCCTGGTAAATGAAATTAACCATCACCTTCGATTTAGTTATGTCTCTAAAAGGTATAAATAGCATGTAATAGAGCATCTCTTTTAGTCACAGAGTTTAATGTGAGAAAAGCAAACATATGCTGTATATAAAATACAGTTAACTTTTTTTAAAAAATTCAATAGTTTTGCCTCTTTTTTTGGTTAAAAAACAGTATTTACTTTAAAACTTGTAATAGAATAACTTGTAAAATCTCTACCCCAACAAATTAGTTCAGTGTCTAGGAAGTACCCTAACTGAAAAACAGTGCATTATGTTCTACAGTGTCTGGAATTGATGTTTAAACAAGCAGGTTGTTACTATTGAATACTATTGAATGCTATTGAAAAATGTGATAGAAAAGCCTCATTAGTGGCTAGAGAAACTGTTATCTGCAGAAATAATTCATTCCATTAAATTTACTGGGTAGTAGCATGGTTCAAAGTTTTGATTGACCGTTAGTTATGGAAAATAACAAAGTACTAATGTAGATGCACAAAAAGCTCCTTTGAGTTGGGGATCCATTCATGGCTAGAAAAGGGAAAAAAAAAGTTAGTTTACAACTAGTTCATAATTCATTTAAGATATTCCTGTTGTATATACACAGTTATGGGAAATGATTTAAATTGGTATTCATAAAACCAAAGGAAATGTACTGCACTTTTGTGGTAATTTTTTATATGTACATTCAGTGAAACAATGGTTTATCTGACTTTAGTTAAGATACATGTTTCAATGAGTGAAGGGAGGGTTGAGTAGGTTTCTTCCTTGTGTCTTATTTAGAGGCTAAACATATCTGTTAATAAATATAAATCTACCATCTGTGAACTTACTAAAATATATTTTGAACTTCCTCTCAGTATCTAGTCCCTTCCAGATATCAAGTTTGATGTTTATTGCTGCACATTTTTAATGGAGAGAGAAATAATGACTATTATTCTGTAGACCCTTCATTTGGCAAGTCCTCACGTTGATGCACATGTGGTTAGTAGCTGCAGTTGCTTCCTACACTTAAATTTCAGTATCAAATCTCTGAGTGACAAATTTTAAATCCTGTGCTGACTTTCCCTTGCTGCTCATCTGGTTCTTGGGCCACCAAGTACCTTAATCATTTAATTAGTAATAAATAATGATCAGCTAATGTCCTAAGAAATACAACACATGTCAATGCCAAAATTATTTTTGGGGAGAGGTTACCAAATGTTGGTTGCTTTCGTTGATGATAGACAACCATATAGTCAAGATTGATGGCTTGATTGTAATTAAAGAAGGGCTTCAGATCTAAAAACATTTTGAATTTTTTGTTTACTCAAATATTTGAGCTCTCAACTAAAAAATCATTTTTAGAGTGAGTTAACAGACTTAATTTTGTTAACTACATGTCTACAGTAATTTATTAACAATATCTGTAGTCTTTTTTTAACTATAAATCTGCAATTTAAAATTTCTTCAAAAGGTTCTGCAGAATAATTGACATTTGTATATTCATCTATTTTTCCTCATGGCATTCGTAGGCATTTTAAAACTTATTAAAGTATAGTAAATCTATAGGAAAAGTGCACATGTAAGTATATAACAATATGAATTTTCCCAAACTGGACACACATATGCAACCATTACTCAGATCAAGCAACAACACATTAGTATCCTAGTAACCCTCCTTATACTCCCTTCTAATCAGTACCTGCCCTCAAGGATAACCACTTACTGATTTTATTAACCATAGATTAGTTTTGCCTGCTTTTAGTACTTAAGCAGTTTTTAACATAACAAAGGCTGTCATTTTCACTGTTAAAGTTAGATTCTGTGTGGTTTAGAGCTGCCATCTTCAACATCCATTACACTTGAGGGATATCATACATTCCCATCATTATCAATGGTTTCTGTAAGAATCTCTTGGCAGTAGTATAGGAGTATACAGTTAAGAAGAAAAGACCCCAAGGTGATTCTGTCATGTTAGAATTTCTCAAACCTCAGCAGTATTAACATTTTGGGCTGGACAATTTTTTCTGTGGGAGACTGTCCTACTAATTGTAAGATCTTTAGAAGCATCCCTGGCTTTTAGCCATCAGATGCCAATAGTACCCATTCCCCAGTTGTGTAAACAAAAAATGTCTCCAAACATTGCTGAATGTCCCCTAGGAGGCAAAATTGGCTGATAGAGAGCCACTGAACTGAGGTGAATATATTCCCTATTTGATGTTCACTACTTTAAAGGTTAACAGGACAATAAGTAAAAGTTTTAGTAAAGTAGCATTAAGTCCCTTATAAGAAGATGGTTTTAGTAATCAGCACCACTTAGCAATGTATTGGCCTACTTAAGAAGATGCTAAGGTCCATGTCACTTGGTCATCTTGGAGGATGTTGTAGAAGGTAGATATTAGAATACATGACCTATAAAATATTCTTCATCAGCCTCACTATAACTGTGAGATTTAAGGCTGGAGGATCTTAAAATCTGTTGAGAAAGACAGACATACCTCCTCACTTCCAAAATACTGAAAATTTTCTATCTATAATAAAAAGTACCACATTCAAAACTGAAAGACAAATTCTATTAAAACATGCCTCTTCTCCATACACCATTCTTCTTCATAGCTGTCTATAACATTTTCTACCTGCTTAAGAAAAAATTGGGATTTTTTTTTGAAAATTTGAGTACAAAATTTGAGTTCAAAAACAATTATATTACCTGTGTATGAATCATTCTAAAGTTTCTTAATTCATACTACATATCAGTAAGGAAAACATGGGGAAATTTTGAAAAGAAAAAAAATGAACTGCAAGATTTTAGTTCACTTTAATATTTTACCACAATTTCTGAAGGCTGTTAGAAATAGAATATATATATATGTCTATTCTATAATAGGACTAGAAATACACAAGGGAACTTACACAAGTCCATTTGTCTTCTGTTTTCTCAATCACAATAGTCTGTGTGTCACTACCTGGTGGTATATATTCATAGTCATCATAAAGGAGTCCTAGGATTGGATATTGTGTCCTGTACCTATACAGAAAAAAGTTAGTTTACAGCCTGCATAAGAAAAATGACTCATTCTTTTTTAGTCACTCCTAGTTTGATTTTCCTTATTAAGTCAAGTTGGCTCTGAATGACTTTTAATGCTAAAAAGAAAATACTTACAAAGCTTTACTACCATTATTTTCAAAAGAGTAAGAGTACTGCTTCTGCAATAATGGACCACTGGTAGCACAAGACAATGATCTTAGAGAAGGGAACCAAATGACATGAGCCCTATCAGTACCTACCTCACTACCTAGAGATTTTCTTGGTCACAGGATACGGAAAGTGGAGCCAAATAAATTCCTTCTGTCTCACAAAATTGAAATGACAGAATTTCAAGTAAAGCTATGCCAAAGCACCTGGAGTGGGGCAGAATACTAGGCAGAAGACAACTATATAGATAAAGGTCAAGAGTCCTGTAGAGGGTTCTCCACAAGTCTTTGGATGGCTACTGATTAGGGTAGGCATATGGAAAAACTACTGAAGCTGCAGAAAGAACCACTGGAAAGGAGGAGCCTGGAAATTCCTGGAGTTCACATAATGAAGGGAATAGCTTGTGTTTCACTAACCAGAGTGGAAAGAACTCCTAATGCAGGGAGGCATCAGGAAGAAACTACAGAAGAATACTGTGTTAGCATTAGGGTGATATTAGTCCTGTACTGCAGGTTTTAACAGTTTAAAAGTAAGCCTTGAAAGTATTACACTGTATCCAGGCAATTTTGTCTCAGAATAAAACCACAGAACTGCAGTGAAATAAAATTATCTAGAACTAAAGTATGTAAAATTACAATACATGTCATTGAGTAAAAAAAATTAGTAGTCATGGAAGCAAGAAGATATGACTGGTAATGAGGAGAAAAACAAATTAGTAGAAACAGAACAAGAAATAAGAGATAAAAGAAATAAGTAGTCATGGGTGCATCTATTAAAATATATATATTTTTAAATGTATACTTAAGAAGTTAGAAGAAAGTATGAATGCAATGAGGAGAACAACGGAGGATATAAAGATCTACCTTGGACTTCTAAAAATGAAAATTACATTGTATGGGATTAATAGCAGAATATGGCCTGCAAAAGAAAATATTACTGAATTTGAAGACATGAAGAGAAATTATCCAAAATAAAACACAAGAAAAAAAACCTGGAAAAATATGCAGAGTATGAGTTACCCATGGGGAATATTAGCTGCCCTCATATATGTGTAACTGAAGTCCTACATGATTGGCAGGAGACAAAAAATAATTGGAAAAATAATGACCAAATCGTTTCTAGATTTTATGAAAACTTTAAACACACAGATCTAGGAAGTTCAGTGAACCTCAAGATAACGAATGATGAAGAAAAACAGGCAAAGAGAAAGGACCCAAGTAAATAATGAGAAAAGAAAGAAGTAACAACTGACACCACAGAAATAGAAAGCATTATAAGACAATACTGTAAAAAAGGTATATGCCAAAAAATTGGACAACACAGAAGGAAAAATAGCTAGAAACATACAATCTTCCAAAAACTGAATGAAGAAGAAACAGAAAATCTGAATAGACTGATTACTAGTGACAAAATTGGATGAACTGTCCAAAAAAAAATAGCAAAAAATAAAGTCTAGGGAGCATTTGGGTGGCTCAGTCAGTTAAGATTCTGACTTTTGATTCCACTCAGGTCATGATCTCAAGGTTGTCCAATTTTTTCAATTTTATTTATTTTTATTTTTTGTTTCCTCTCATCATATTTTATGTGTGTGTGTATATATGTATATATATTTCTTATTTTTGGATATAGTTTCTTTTAACAAGCAGACCAAAATACACCCATGATCTAGTTTTGTTTGTTTTGTTGTTGTTATTGTTATTTTTTCTTTTTCTTTCTTCTTTTCTTTTCTGGACAAAATGATGAGATGAAGAAATTCACCCCAAAAGAAAGAACAAGAGGTATTACTCATAGTCAGGTATTTAATGAATACAGATATAAGTAAGATGTTTGGGCTAGAATTTAAAATTACAATTATATGGTTACTAGCTGGGTTTGAAAAGAGCATAGAAGACACTAGAGAATTCCCTATGGTAGAGACAAAGGAACTAAAATTTAATAAAGTTAAAATTAAAGAAGCTATAACCAAGATGCAGCCCCAAGAGGAGGCCATATAAACAAGAATATATGAATCTGAAGAGCAAATCCATAATATGGAAGATAAAATTGTGGAATATAATGAAGCTTAAAAGAAGAGGGAAAGAAAATTATTAGATCATGAACACAGTCTTAGTGAACTCAGCAATTCCATAAAGTGAAATAATGTCAATATTAAAGGAGTCTCAGGAGAGTGGGAAAAGGGGCAAGAAGTTTAATTTGAACAAATTATAGCTGAGAACTTCCTTAATGTGGGTAAGGAAACAGGCATACAAGTCCAAGAGGCACAGAACTTTACTAAAAATCAAGAAAAATAGGTCAACATCACAACATATTATAGTGAAACTTGCAAATTGCAAAGATAGAGACAATATTAGAAAGCAGTTGGGGAAAAGAGATCCTTAACCTATAGGGTTAAGCAGTAGACCTGTCCACAGAGACCTGGCAGGCCAGAAAGGACTGGCATGATATACTCAACATCCTAAATCAGAAAAATATGCAGCCAAGCATACTTTAACCAACAAAGCTATCATTCAGAATAGAAAGAGAGATGAAGAGTTTCCAGGACAAAGAAAAACTGAAGGAATTTATGAACGCCAAACGACCCATACAGGAAATATTAAAGGAAAGCCTTTTAGCAGAGAGAGAGACCAAAAGTAACAGACTAGAAAGGAATAGAGATAATTTATAGGAACTGCAACTTTATAGGTAATACAATGCCACTAAATTCATATCTTTCAACAATGACTGTGAATGTAAATGGACTAAGTACTCCAATAAAAGACATAGGGTTACAGAATGGATAAAAAAACAAGACCCATCAACATGCTACTTACAAGACACTCATTTTAGACCCAAGACACCTCCAGATTGAAAGTAAGGAAGTGGAAAATCATTTATTATGCTAATGGACATCAAAAGAAAGCTGAGGTACTCATAGATATTAAGCCAAAGACTATAATGAGAGATGAAGAAAGACACTGTATCATAATTAAATGGTCTATCTAACAAGAAGATCTAACAATTGTAAATATTTATGCCCCTAACTTGGCAGCACTCAAGTGATAAACCGATTAATAATAAAATAAAGAAATTCATTGATAAAAATACAGTAACAGTAGGGGACTTTAACATCCCACTCACAGCAATGGACAGATCATGTAAACAGATCAACAAGGAAATAAGGGCTTTGAATGACACCCTGGAACAGATGGGCTTAACAGGTATCTTCAGAGCATTTCATCCTAAAGCAGCAGAATACCCATTCTTCTTGAGTGAACATTGAACATTATTCAGAATAGATCACTTACTGGATCACAAATCAGGACTCAACTGGCAAGAAAAGACTGAGATAATACCATGGATATTTTCAGACAACTCTACTATGAAACTTGAAGTCAACCACAAGAAAAAATTTGGAAGGACCACAAATACATGGAGGTTAAAGAAGATCCTACTAAAGAATGAATGGGTCAACCAAGAAATTAAAGAAGAATTTTAAAAAATACATGGAAGCAAATGAAAATGAAAATAGGACAGTTCAAAACCTTTGGGATGTAACAAAGGTAGTCCTAAGAGGGAACTATATAGCATTACAGGCCTATCTCAAGAAGCAATAAAACAACTTACTTGCACCTAAAGGAATAGGAAAAAGAACAGCAAATAAAAGCAAAATCCAGCAGGAGAAGAGAAATAATAAAGATTAGAGCAGAAATGAATGATATAGATATCAAAAAACCAGTAGAACAAATTAACAAACCTAGGAGCTTGTTCTTTGAAAGAATTAACAAGTTTGATAAACCTCTAGCCAGACTTATCAAAAGAAAAGACCCAAATAAGATCATGAATGAAAAAGTAAAGATCACAAACAACTCTGAAGAAACACAACCAATTATAAGAGAATATTATGAAAAATTATGTATTAAAAAATTAGGCAGTCTGGAAGAAACAGATAAATCCTAAAAACATATAAACTACCAATACTGATCAGGAAGAAATAGAAAACTTGAACAGACCCATAGTCAGAAAAAAAAAAAATTGAAGCAGTAATCAAAAGTCTCCCAACAAACAAGAGTCCAGGGCCAGATGGCTTCCCAGGGGAATTGTACTAAACGTTTAAAGCAGAAATAGTGCTTATTCTTCTGAAACTGTTCCAAAAAATAGCACTAAAAGGAAAACTTCCAAACCCATTCCATGGGGCCAACATTACCTTGCCCCCAAAACCAAAGACCCCACCAAAAAGGAGAATTACAGACCAATTTACCTGATGACCATGGATGCAAAAATTCTCACTAAGGTACTAGCTAATAGGATCAAATAGTATATTAAAAGGATTGCTTACCACAACCAAGTGGTACTTATTCCTGGGCTTCAAGGGTGGTTCAACATTCACAAATCAGTGTGATACATCACATTAATAACAGAAAGGACAAGAAACATATGATTCTTCAATATATGTAGGAAAAGCATTTGACAAAATACAACAATTTGTTCTTGATAATAACCCTCCACAATGTAGGGATAGAGGGAACATACCTCAATATCATAAAGTCCATATATGAAAGACCCATAGTGAATATCAACCTCAACAGGGAAAAACTGAGAGTTTTCCCCTAAAGTCAGGAAAAGGACAGGGATGTCCACTCTCACTGCTATTGTTTAACATAAGTCCTAGCATCAACAATCAGCCAACAAAAAGAAATAAAAACATCCAAATTACCAAAGAAGAAGCCAAACTTCCACTCTTTGCTGATGACATGATACTCTATGTAGAAAAGCAAAAAGATTTCACGCCAAAATTGTTAGAACTGATATAGGAATTCAGTAAAGTTGCAGGATATAAAATTAAAGCACAGAAG